TCTTTTTCTCATTATTTTGGCTCCTGGAAACAGCCCTACCTAACCCTGGCAAGCTTCAGAAGCAGCAGCTAATATTTTTTAAAGATGTGTAGAACTGTTTTTAAAGTGAAAACTTAGTGAGTTTAGTAAAAACTTAAGCCTGCAGTAGCAGGCATTTATTTTCCAAACTTCTCATTTTTTGTACATTAGATCACAGGATCTAAGATAAGGTGCCAATAAGTACCTTAAAGTAACAGCTATTCAGGAGGCATTACGGTTCTTACGCAGCATGTTTACCAAAAGTACAGCCCTCCCTGCCCACAATGCTATACTATCACCAAGGAACAAAAGAGGGGAGGAGAGCCAGGCATGGTGATGCGTATCTGTAATCCCAACACTCAGGAAGCTGAGGCAGGAGGATCACTGTGAGTTCAAAGTCACTCCAGTCTACATAGCAAGATCCTGTCTCAAAAAAAAAAAAAGAGCAAGTTGTAAGTTTTGTCAAATCAACCACTAACCATGTGCTGTGACTTGCTGACCACTGCCACCTTCACCCCTCATCAGAAAGAAAGAGAGAGAGGCTGGGGATTTAGCTCAGCGGTACAGCACCTGCCTAGCAAGGGCAAGGTCATGAATTCGATTCCCGGTACAGGGAAAAAAAAAAAAGAGAGATACAGAAAGAAAGAGAGAAAAGGAAAGGAAAGGCAAGGAAAAAGAGAAGAGAAGAAAAGAAAAGCAGGCAGACAGGCAGGCAGACAGGCAGGCATCCATGGAAGGCCCAGCCAAGTCCATGGGCCGGAACAAGCAGGCGCCCACTAGTCTAACCTAGGCTCACATTTTTGGGCTCCACTGTGCTTGCCCCGCCCCAGCCCCATACATACAAGTGGTCTTTTACCCCCTTTACCCTTCTGCTTCCAAGGACTCTACGCTTTCCCTCTGGTTTAGAGCTTCAAAACCATTTCTGTGAAACAAAAGTACAAATAGAGAAAGCTATTTGAGGCTCCTTCTGCTCAGATGACTCATGTCTAGCTCTTCCAAGGCCAAAGGGTCTTATCAGATTCCAAGATGCCACGTTGGTGGCAACTCACCTGGTTCTTGATCAAGCTAAGTCACCCATTCCACACTGTCAGTCTCCTCCCTACAGGAGACTTATTAGAAGGCAAGGAGCTGGACTTGAGAGGCAGCTGCCTGGGCTAAGTCCCAGCTCTGCCACTTATTAGTCACAGGACTTTGTACAAATCATTCCCTAAACTGAGCCTCAGTTCCCTTGTTTGTAAAGTGGAGATGATAACGATGTTATAATCATTATAATAATCATAATAATACCTGCTTCATGGGGTTGTTTTATTCACACAAAATAAATGAACCAGCAGACAGCAAGCCTGCATCCTGGCGCTGTCCTGTTTGACGCTAAGGGGGCCTCAGCCGTTGGATACCACAGTCTGAATTCTAAGATTGAACCTCAGAAGGAAGGAGAGTCCAAACCTCAGAATGAAATCCACAAGGCTTCTTCTGATACTGACGGTCCTCTACATCTATTCCCACCCTGCCTTCCAAGAAGACCTCCTGCTCCATTCCCACACCATTCTCTGGGTCCTCCATTGTTTTAAAAAATAGTCTATTGTCTAAGTGCCACATACCACACCCGGCACAGTTCTCCCATCTGGCCAGCCCAGCGTCTTCTCTTCCTGGATTCTACCCAACCGTCAGGACAGAGCTCAAGGCTAGAGTGTCCACAGAGCCTTCTCTCGTTGCCCTACCCCTCATGAGGTTCCACTGCTGAACTCCTCCCAGGTCTTCTGGGGCTTTTGCTGTAACTATATTTTATAAAGCTAGGCAAAGTACAATTAAATGAACAGAAGGGGGAAATCTTACATCTCTTTGTATACCCCTAAGTGTCTAGTACTAGAACTGCACTTAGCAGCGATCCAATGACTAAGTCATTTATATCCCAAGAAGGCTTGATGTCTCAAAGCAAATACAGGATCATTCTTTCAAAACACCCTTCAGATCAATAATATCTCATCGCACAGAAGTTTAAAGACTTAATCTCCAGACCTAGCCTAAGTAGGTTCATGGTTAGATCTACCATTAATTAGCTACGTGATCTTAAAGGGAGTTACTTAACCTCTGTGCTTCAGTTTCTTCATCTATGAACTAAGGATAATCAAAGGGCCTACACTTGTTATGGTAGTTAGGAGGATGAAATAAGATAATACACATGAAGTACTTTGAATGGAGCCAGGCACACAGTAATTACCTATAAATAGTCAATATTATTGTTACTGTTATCATTATTATTGTTACTACCTTCTTGAAGTTCAACTCACCCAAAATGTTCCAGAAAGCATTTGGTAAAGTATGCTGAGCCTAGACAGAAAGGTGCTGGGTAACAGCACATATGAGACATTTTTTCCCTCTTCATTCATTTGGTCCCTTAGGTTACACGAAGCAATAACAACAAATTCTACACGTAAAAGGCATCCCCATCCTTGTGCTATTTATCAGTTGCCTTGTGCTCTCATAAAATCTGTGATTCTCCTGTCACTTTCACCTCTGCAAAGCTTTAAGGGTGTAAGCAACTCAAAAATACTTTCCCAGGCAGGGCGTGGTGGCGCACGCCCTTAATCCCAGCACTCAGGAGGCTAAGGCAGGAGGATCCTTGTGAGTTCGAGGCCAGCCTGGGCTACAAAGTGAGCTCAAGGCCAGCCTGAACTGCAGAGTGAAACCCTGTCTCAAAAAGACAAAAAAAAAAAAAGAAAACTTTCCCAGGCTGGCAATGCAGCTCAGTGGTAGAGTACTTGCCCAACATGAGCAAAGTCTTTGGTTTAAGTCCTAGTACCACACACACACACACACACACACACACACACACGCACACACACACAAAAAACTCTTCTAATAGCTTGAAAAAAGAAGGAGGGTCTTAAGCAAAACTCATTCAGGCTGGGGATACAGCTCAGTGGCACAGTGCCTGCCTGGCAAGCACAAGAGCCTGAGTTCGATTCCTGGTACCAAAAAAAAAAAAAAAAAGCTGATTCAGTACCAAAAACATCAGCAAGGCCTAGTGGCACATATCTGTAATCACAGCACCTTGGGAGGCTGAGGCAGGAAGATCCTAAGTCAAATCCAGTCACTATTCAACTTAGTGACTTAGCAAAAAACCCTGTCTCAAAATAGAAAATAAGGGTGGAAAGAAGGCCCATGGTTCAATCCCCAGTTTCCCACCCCCAAAATCAAGGCCACAGGGAGCCATCAAACTTACCACATTCCCACGAAGTACCTTCCTCAGTGTTTTTCAGTCTGACCCAGGCATTAAGCAAAACAGAAAGCCTTGCCTCAAACCTACCAGGGATGATTTTACATCTTGTCATCACACAGCAAATTTTCCATCAAGCGGTTTCTCTTTTCCTCTCTCTCTTCCCCCTCTCTATTATTTTTCAGTGAGATTTTAATTAAGATCAGTTTTAACACACAGGCTAAAAGACAAATAACTCTTCAAAGAATGAGACAAAATGAAACTGCTGACAGACAGCAATAGAGAATGGGCAGTTCAGATTCACACACTGGCATTCAAAACAATGCAGCAACTTTCAAGATATCTGTGATGAGAGGGGCACTCTGCTTTCCAGTCTCAGAAACTAATTTCTGCCGGCTGGTTTTCAGTCAGGCAGTGTCAGCACACAGTCCGGGTCTGGCCCGTGAGGGCTTCCTGGTGAGACGGTTTCTTTAGGGCAACACACAAGTTAGGGGCACAGATGTACAACTGGGACATAACATCTGGCTCCTCCACTTCCCAGCCACACAGCGCTGTACCGGTTACCTCATCTCTCCGTATCTCATCACCCACAAAATGGCAAAAATAGCCATGCCTCACCAGAGTTACGACTAAGTGAGCTCAGTAAATAATATCCTCACTCGTTTTTCGCCCAGTGGCTGCTGCCGTAAACACTAACAAATAACTACTTTACTCTCATCTGCATGTGCAGCTAGCAGCAAAAACCGAGAGGCTAATCATTTTCTGAGTCAGTGATTTCTCATTGAGACCTATCAGTTCCCAGAATTAACCCAACACATGAGTTTTGTGGAGCTCATTATAGAACAGACACAAAGCGAATTATAACAAAATAGAGCAAATTAAGCTTCTAAATGTATTAAGTAATTCTGACATGAACACTAAGACGTCCGAATGCGGGATCTGACCCTCTCCCTAAGCGGTACCACTCCAACCAGCACTGCTTCTCAGCTCCAACCCCACGGTCCCATGGTCTCTGGGAAACACAGGCATTTTGCTCCTTTTCTTGTTCATTTTTTTTTTCTTTTCTTTCTTTCTTTCTTTTTTTGGTGGTCCTGGGGATCAAACCTCGAGCCTTACACATGCTAGGAAGTGCTCAACCACTAAGCTACATACCCAGACCGTTTCTCTACTTTTAAAAAAAGCTATATATGGGGCTGGGGATTTAGCTCAGCAGCACAGTACCCGCCTGGCAAGCACAAAGTCATGAGTTCGATTCCCCGTACCGGAGAAAAGCAAAAAAATAAAATAAAATAAAAAGCTATATATTAAAATATCTTAAATAGACAAAATTAAACAGCTCCCAAGCAACCCATCCTCCAAGTGTCACCTCTATACAGAAGGTTTATTTACTCTGAAATGCAGAAGAAAGAAGGCTCTCTCTTAAAATTCTTATTTTGAGTAAAAAAGCAAGTATAATCTATGCATGTAATAAAATTACATAGGATTAATTATTACCACATTTGTTCTCTACCCGCCTCAACACAGGTTAGTTAGGTATCTGTGTCACTGACATTAGAATGCCTAGCACCAGCCTAGTAAAATATAATGAAGGCAAATATACTATGTATCTGTATAGTAGTCAAATATTTTATTTTTCCTAAAAATCTAAGTATTTGGGTTTTACATCAACATTGTACGGTCTAATCCTTCCAAACGGAAGAGACTGAGAAAAAATATATCGAAAAGAAGATCATGAATATATAATCTATATCATGCAACTTACCTGCAGTGGCTAAACAGGCACTCATCAAGGCAAACACACCAACCACATACTGGGACGTCATTTTTCTTTCTGCAACAGCCAATAGCTCTTCAGATCACAGACAATCTTTGAAAATTAGAAGTGGCCTGAAAATCCCTCTTGGCAATTTTCAAATTTCCTATAAAAAATAAACAAATTTCAGTATGAAAACATAGTACAGAAACTTCTTTTCATAAATACACACTAAAGTTAAATGGAAAATTTCTGAAAAGTGTAAGAGAAGAAATTTGCTTTGAAAAACATGCCAGGACACTACTCAACCAAACTAGAAGAGGGTGGGGGTAATAATTATCTAACAAAGATTTCTACAGCAAATGCTTTTGCTTATATGTGACACTGAAATCTTTGGGTTGTGGAGGCTTTGGAGTGCTGGCTTGGTGAGGTGTTTTATTTTGCTTTATTCTGTTTTGTCTCGTTTCATTTTTGAGACCAGACTTGCTATGTTGCTGACTGGTCTCAAATTCCTGGGCTCGTGCAATCCTCCTGTCTCAGCCTCTGGAATAGCTGGGCCTATAAGCCCACAACATTAAGCCAGATTTTAAAAATCTCTGGTTTTGCAGAGTTTTCAGGGCTACAGAATAAAAGTGAGGTGCACCTTTAACCTAATTAGTGATACTGTGGTACTAAAGTAATCAATAATACTCCAAAAACACACTCCCTAGTGCCAGCAAGCAAACAGAAATAGTTCTGATTACAGACTCCATTTAATGTCATAATGACAGGGTTATCACAATGATCAAATTAAATTACACTGAGAATCAATCTAAAAAAACAAAGAACCGTAAAAAAGGAAAGGCTTTTATTTCAACTATGGGCTGACATTTTAACAGGGGAAACGTCTCTCTCAGCCCAAGCTGAGACTCTCTTGATTACTAGAATGGGTGATCTGAAAGGCCTTTCTAACCTTTTCCTACCCGGAGTCTTGAATGACAGTTTGGTGTTGGTCCGCTTAACTGGAATATGCCTCCCACAGCCCTAACAGTTGCTTTATATTCCTAAGTATATTTTCCAGCCCTTCAACCCTGAGCTTGGCACAACCAACAGAAGTTGTTCAATTCAACAAATATTTTTTGAGCACCTAGTATGATCCAAGTGTGGTTCCCTCTCACCAGCAATAAAAGCTACCCAACAAATAGATAAAAGGTGCAATGGCCCTGGACAAAGCAAGACAGTGAAATTTCTGGGAACCTGAATGCATTGATATACAAAGCTCTTTAAAAGAAAACGCTATTTCAGCAAATGCTAAGAGCAATTTTTTTTAAAGCAAATCCCTGTAAGGAGATCTCAGGAGAAGATGGCTTTCGAGAGTATTTTTATGGGGCACATAAACCATAGGCAGCATGAGGCTTGTGGGAATATTTAATGAGCTTTGTCACCCCTGCCCGCAGAAGGCTCTGAGGGTCTGCATTAACCCAGGGGCTTAAACCAGATTTGAACAAACCTGTGGAAAGAAAGGCAAATGGTTCTATTAAAAAATATAGACTGCAAATTGCTGACAAGAATATTGGGCAATTATTAAAATACAGCAATTACAGATATAATAGAGCCAAGCTAAACAGTTTGATGCCCAAAGGCAAACCACAGCAAGTTTACACCGGATCTTAAAACATCTCCGAGGAAGTCCAAGACAAGTTGAAACTACGTACTGCTGTTTGTAACAAAGAGGGAGCTTTTCTTCTTTTAGCTTAAAAGTCGCTCCCCAATGTAACTTGTTCAAAAAAGAAAATAAACTGCAGAGGGTTTTTATCTAATGTTCCTAGTGTGGTGACAGCACCGGAAAGCAGAGAACATACAGGGAAGCGTGTGGTTCCCACTCGGCTTAACTCCAGTTTGGGCCAAGACCTGGACACTGCAGCGCCTTCACACACAACTTACAGATGTGGTTCCCTGTTTCAAAGAATGCTGGATGACAGCAGGCTTCCGAAAAGTTGTAGCTTTGAAATAAACCCAGGGAGACACAAACTCCTCTCTTCTGTGAGGTTCTATCACACTCACTTTGCATAAACCAAGGACTGCTGGCCCTGGCTTTCTGACCTCACTAAATGTCTTTGGACTTTATGAACTAAATGCTTCCTTTAGAAATGTAAACAGGTCCTCTGAGATTCTGAAAGCACAATTTTGTGTCTATACCTTTCAAGGCCATGTGTTCTATTCAAAGCATATGAAATACTGAGTATCCACAAATTAAGAGAAGAAAATCCTAAGAGAGAGAGAGAGAGAGAGAGAACACGCACTTCATGGATCACAAAGCAGGATGCACTAGTAACTCTGGCACTTTCAGACTGGCTTGGGTTTACTTCTGAGGCCATGGAATGGAACATACTGCCCTGCATCCCTTGGTGATCCCAAAGAGCACACAGGTAAAGACCAGGCTTAGCTAGAAAAACCCTACTCAGATGGATCCGAACACCATCATGGGTTGAAACCAGTGTCCAAGAAGAACTGGTTAGGAATAATATTCCCTCGATTGAGTTGTTTTTGTTTTTTTAAAGAGCAAATCTTGCTCTATCTAAGAAGAAAATTGTAGCAAAACGGATGTCAGACAGTAGGCTAAGAGCCAGTAAGAAAAAATTACTAACTATCCCTCACATGGTTATATCCATGAAATTATTCAAAATCAGGACTAAATTACTCAGTTAAAAAATTATCATCCTAAAGATAGATGAACAGCTTTTAAAGCTGGAAGAGGTCAGCATGATTTTAGTGACAACAAAAAGCCCCAAATCCTAAGACTTGCCCTGATGGCAGATGAAGGCCAAATAGGTCTCTTTCCATGGCCATCACCCCACCTCCCAGCTTCAGTTCTGTCATCACAAACTGGGATGCATTCTCTCTCCTCAACAGTTACTCTCCAAAACAGAACTTGTTTTCTAAGAGATGGGGAACCGTGCTGTGGCTACTATCAAACACTGCTGTGCCCCCTACACAAATCACTACTGGTCATAACTGTCCTTTGACGGCAGGACTACGGGTGGCAGTCATAAATAATAAACAATCCTTGGTAGTGCTAAACTCAACGTTCTTTCAAAATGCAAAGGACAAAAAGAAGCACAAACCTGTCCACTGTCGTGTCCTAACACTGACACAGTTTGCCGCTAAATGCGGAAGAAAAATAGGGATTCAACAAATCTGAGGATCTACAGGACAGAGATGCTACATGAGACGTCAAAAATTACCATCACCTAAACTCAAATAGTAACACCTAAGCTTCTGGTAGCTTAAATGTAAAATGGTTTCTGACAGATCATTAAAATATTGCAAGTGTGTCATTTAAGTGCATTTTTTTAGAGCACAGTTGAGTTTACAAATGATGAAGTCAAAGTTGATAAAGGAATAGTTCTGCTGGTCATCCAACATGTTATTCAGAGGAAAAGAGGCAGCATGGATATATCTATATCTATAAAAAAAGGGGGTGTATGGAATGTGGAACAGATACTGTTGTTTGATGATATTTGGACGCCCTTTAAGAGCTGTACACAAAGAAAGCAAAGCCACCTTTATTAAGTCACACCAGCAACTCTCAGATTTCTCTAGCACACAGGGAAAATGGATTAAATCCCAATCCCTATATTCAGACAGATTTGGCACAAAGAAAGAAAAAGTCCTGGATTTGATTGAGAACTCTCTGGAATCATATCTAAGCACAACAGATACCCAACAAATATTTACTACTACTACATGCCAGGCACTGATCCAGAGGCCAAGGAGAAAGCACTGAAATAAGGAGCCAAGTCCCTGCCCTTGTAGAGTTTATATTCTAATAAAAGTAGCATCAGTTACTATTTTAGGTGAGATGTTTAATTTCCTAGGCTTCATTTCTTCTCTTGACAAATCTTTAGTTATTGCTTCCTCTGTGCCAGGCAGTGGGATATAGTGGCCAAGCAAAGAGACGTGTTCTTTGCCCTTATGGGCTTAATGTCTAGCAAAATAAGCACACAATCACAAACACATAGCCATACAGTATGAGAAGAGCCATAACGGAAAATCACCTACAGGTGAGGAAGGACACTACAAGGAGAGGCACGCTGCAAGCCCCTGATGTGGAGGGAATGGGGCTGCACAGTGGAGAGAAAGAGAAGAGAAGGAAGGTTCACAGCCATGACCAAGTGGGTTTCAAGCATGCCCCTGGATGCCGTACGGAGAACCGACTGAAGGGAGGACAGGGCGCTTGAGAAAAGATCAGTTGAGGTTACCAGGGGGCAGACAAGAAAGGAAGAATGTGGAGGTCAGAAAGGAGCCTCAGTTCCTTCCTTTGTAAGAGACGATAATAAACTACACTTACTAGGTCACCAAGCTGTTGCAAGAATCCACTGAGATTGTGCATGTATGGTATGGAAGCTATCATTACTTATCATTAGCAGGTCATATTTACCAAAAGATTTATTATCCTGAGGCCTAGGATTAATTAAAGTCCCAACATGCTGTGGGTGCAGTGGCAGGAAATGAAATGCAGGTTACTCCTGATCCCCTATGCTGGAGGGCAGGATTCCAATGAAGACCAGCGGGAAGGGGCAGGAGGCGTAGAGGGCACGAGGTGAGCAGAGGCTGCGCCCACTCCTGCGCTCCCACCTGATGCCTCCAGGGAAAGGGGGCTGCCCCTCCTGGCCCTACAGCCCTCACCCCCAGCTAAGAGCATCAACATCTGGTCCTGGCATCCTAGCTTTCCTTGGGGTAGAACCTCAGTGGGTCTTTAAAGGCCCAGACACAACAGGCCTCAGTCACAAGCAAAACATTGAAACGGAAAGTCAAGGTGTGAAAGACGTGCTTAGTTGGCATTCACAAATGGATTTTTCACCCACCTTGCAGTTCCCTGAGAGCTACCTTTTCACATTTAAGATTTTTGCATCCAAAGATGCCTGCTGCTTATCATTTATGGGGTATATTCTTTTAAGATAGAATTAACAGGGAACTATATTTGGGAATTTATCTCCCAACACACCCAGCTATGTTGCATTGGACAAGTCACTTAGCCTCCACCATTCTCTCACCGTAAAATAATAACACTTTGTAATACAGGGGATAGAATATAGGTATGTTACCTAAAATAGTACCTGTACCCTGTCTCACACAGTCCTGTCTCTCTCTGTGTGTGTGTGTGTGTGTGTGTGTGTGTGTGTG